GCATGGACGCCTACCGGCGCGGGCCGCCTCCCGACCTGGTCGCGGCCATGCCCGACGGCACCGAGGAGAAGCTCCGAGGCGCCGGGGGCTGCCGCGCGGCCGCGGTGCCGCCGTGTTGCCAGTGGGCTGTGTTGCCAGAGAACGAGGATCAACCCGTTTCAGAGCGTTCGGGTGAGCTGGCACGAGGCTACATGCGTTGCGTTCCGGAACGCTCCCAGAGCGTTCTGCAACGCTTTTGCAAGGCCGCGGCGCCCGAGATACCTCCAGAGCCGCCAGATGTCAGAGATTCTTAATTTGTCTTCACCCGATTTGATTCTCGTCCTGGCTTCGTCCTACGCTCCTGTTCCCTCCTCCTCCTGCTCATTTTTCCTTCTCCTCCCTTCTCCTCCTGCTGCTCCTTCCTCTTCTTCTCCCTCCTCCTCTTCCTTCTCCTCTCCCTTCTCCTCCTTCCTCCTCTCCTGCCTCAATCCTCCCGCCTCCTCCCTTCGCTCTCCTTCCTCCTCCTCCTCCCTCTCTCTCGTTCTCCCTCCTCCTCCTCCTCCTCCTCCTCTTCCTGCTCCTCGTCCCTCCTCCTTCCTCTCTTGTCGTCCTCCTGCTCCTCCTCCCTCCTCCTCGTGTTCCTCCTATCTTGGGAGCCGTCGTGGTGCTCTCCAGAGGCTCTTTTGGGAGCCTTTCAGACCATCTCGGAGATCTTGGGGCCCTCTTGCGGGCAGAGGGGTCCCTCGTGGCGGCATCCTGGAGGACATCAGTCAAAGTGGGGCTTCTAATCACCACATGCCCCTTCCGAAACATTGCGTTCATTGGGTCTTAGGGGCCGTTTTTGAATGGCTCCTTCTTGGGGCTATCTGGCGGTCTCAGACCCATCTTGAGGCTATACGGACGCGAAAATGTAAGAAGGCAGCCATCAGATATTCACGTAGCTTGTTTGAAGTATTTTTGTCTCTCCTGAGCCAGGACTATCCTGCGCCATCAAGGGTTCCATCTGTGGCCATCTGGGGCCACCTTGGAACCCTCTTGACCCCAAAGCTCTTTGGGGCCTTCGGGAACGTCTTGGAGCCTTCATGGACCCCCCTTCGGACTCTCGTGTGCGACGTCTAGGCCATCTTCGGGCCCGAGAAGCCCATCGACCATCGCATGATCACTGAACCACACTAGGGGATTTGAAACCACTAGTTTTTTACTCTCCCAAATGCCTCTCGGGGATTTTGAGAGGCTCCGTGGCCACGTGGGGGGACCGTCTTGGCGGGCCTCTTGGAGGCATGTTGAAGGACACCTTGAGCCATCTCGGACTATCTCGCGCCATCTTGGCTCCATCTTGGATGCCGTCTTGGGCTACCTGGGGCCATCCTGGAGCCGTCTTGGGCCTCCTCGGATGCAGGTGGGCCCGTCTAGGCCAGAGGAGGGAGCAGGGGGAGGGGCAAACCCCTCCCCGCAGGGGAAGCCGCGGGTGGGAAGCGCAACCTCGCGGCACCAGGCACGCCCCGAGGGCTCCTGGTGGGATTCCGGGCCCCGCGCCCCGGGCCCCTCCCCGGACGCCCGATCCCAGCCCCGAAGTGTCGGCATCCTGAGCCTCCGGGGCGGGAGTGCCAGGACCCGGCCCCAGACCAGAGGGTTCCAAATGGGGTTTTTGGGGAGGTTTTTTTTCCAGAGAGCCCCCAGGGGCCTCGGAGCCTCGTCAAAACAGGGGGCGCGAAGCCACTGGGGGGCCCCTCCTGGAAAGCCCCCTCTGCAACAGAACCCCTTTGGAACCCTCCGGCCAGATGCTGGGTCTGTCGGGCGAGAGGTAGGACGCAGGCCCAGAAAGGCAGATCCTGAAGCCGATCCTGGTCGGGAGCGGGCCGTCTGTTCAGGGAGGCGTCCGGGGTCGAGGAGCCGCTCTGCAGCGCCTGCGGGGGGAGTCGACCTCTCCTTACTCCCCCCCTCCCTCATTGTCCTGGCTCCCAGTGGATCGTTAGAAGCGGGGGGCACAGGGTCGCGCTTGGTTGAGGAACAGGTGGGCGTCTGGGGGATAATCCCAGGTCGCCCGCAGGGACGCGATCATACCGCAAGCTCTGGGTCCAGGTGACACGATGAGAGGCGTGGGGAAGGCGACAACGCCATCGACGAAGGGATCAAGTAACAGCAGGAGGACCAGCAGCAGCAGCAGCAGCAGCAGCAGCACGATGAGTGACAGAATTCGAAGCAGCCCTGTCCGAAGGCTGGCGGTAGCCAGCGCGGAAAGTCGGCAGAAACAAGACGACCTCTCCATAATGACCCCCCTTTTCTCTTACATTCCCCTGGCCTCATCCCTCCGGCATGGCGTCCGCCCCGCCGCCGGACGACGGATAGGGAGTGGCGCTGGTTGATGGGCCCCGAACGCTGCAGGAGAGAGGTTCCGGTGGAGGGCCAGTGGAAACACGAGCGCTCCTCGTGTCCCCCCAGCCCCCCTCGGGCGGGGCCACAGGACGATGACGGATCCGTTCCAGAGCGTTCCAGAGCGCTCTCGGAGCGCTCCTCGTGTCCCCCACCCCCCCCTCGGACCCTCGGGCGGGGCCACAGGACGATGACGAATCCGTTCCAGAGCGTTCCAGAGCGCCCTCGGAGCGGCCGGGGGCGCTCCGAGAGGGCCGCCGCGCCCGAGGCGTCCTCCAGGGCCGCCCCGGGATCCTCTGGGCGCCGTGGCCGAGCGCCGCGCGCCGCGGCCTGGAGCCGAGCGGTGGCGCTTCCCCCCGGGGCGGGGGGCGGCGCGAGGGCGAGGAGGAGGAGGGAGGAGGAGGGAGGAGGAGGAGGAGGAGGGAGGAGGGAGGAGGGAGGAGGGAGGGAGGAGGGAGGAGGGAGGAGGGAGGAGGGCTGGCGCGAAGATGGCCGCGCGTCGCCCAGCGCGGGGCGCGATGTTCGCCATCGTCTGAGCTTCGGCGCTCCGGGGGTCCCCGCCGAGCTGGGAGGGGTCGTCCTGCGGGGCGCTCTTGGCGCCCGTCCTGCTCTGGCCTCTGCCCCCCTCCGTCTTTGCCTCTCTCGCTCTCTCTCTCTCTCTTCCCCTCCTGCCGTCGTCGTGGGTTGTGTTGCTCGTCGTCGTCGTCGGCGGCATGCGGAGGAGGAGGAAGGAGGGATCAGGAGGACTGGGGAGCAGGAGGGGGGGAGGAGGTGGAGGAGAGAGAGAGAGATAGAGAGAGAGAGAGAGGAGGAGCAGGAGGAGGAGGATGAGGAGGAGGAGGATGAGGAACGGTGGAAACCCAATACCCATCAACGATATTATAATAAACTTCGCTGAGGGAACTGCCCCGTTGGAAGACAGCCGTCTGAGGACCCTGAAGCGTGCCAAGACACCATTCTCGGGAGTCCAACGCAACGAATCAACATGGCTGTTGCGTCTTGACGATCTGGCAGCGTTCCAGGACACCTTTCCTGGGACTTCAGCACCGCGATTGAACGTACTTGTTGCGCCTTCTTAATCCTGACGCCTTCTAAAGCACCATTTCTGGCACGCAATGAGCATCCGTGAAACTCTTGGAAAACGAATGTACGCGGGCCTAAGGCGATAGCTTTATTTTGAAAAGTAACCGCCCTCGATCGGTGAAACTCTTGCATTTTTTTTGAGCGAATGTGCGCGGCACTAAGGTGAGAGGCACATTTTGAAAACGACTGGCCTCCAATCCGTGCAAATCTTGCAATCTATTGCAACGAATGCGCGCGGCGCTAAGACGAGAGCCACATGTTGAAAACGACCCGCCCTCAATCCGTGAAACTCTTGCATTTTTTTGCATCGAATGTGCGCGACGCTGAGTCGAGAGGCGCATTTAAAAAACGTTCCGCCCGCAATCCGTGAAACTCTCTTTGCATTTTTGTTGCAACGAATGTGCGCGGCGCTATGGCGAGAGCCACATTTTGGACGCGACTCGCCCTCCATGAGCAATTCTCTTGCCAGTGTCTAAGCTTCAGGGTCATAAGTGGTGAGGAAGTCTCAGGCGAAACGCTCGGCCCGCCCTTTCTACCGGCCTCGGAGTGCGACAGGGAGGAGTTATTTCTAAGCTAACGGAATGGAGGATGAGGAGGAGGAGGAGGATGAGGAGGAGGAGGGGGGTGAGGACGAGGAGCAGGAGGAGGAGAAGCAGGAGGAGGAGGAGGAGGAGGAGGAGGAGGAGGAGGAGAAGGAGGAGACCTCATCCCCGGGGCCGCCCCTGGTGGAGGCATGCGGTGCACCGCGGACCAGCGGAAGAACCTGATGCGTGCTGCCAAGCCCGCCCACGAAAGACGACGATTTTGCAATGTGCGCCTGCTCGGAGAGTGCACGACGCAGGGTCCAGTTCGATCCCATCGATCCGATCGATCCGATGCAATGCCAATTTTGGCCGGCCGATCCGATAAGGATCTGATTTCAGCTGCCTGCGGCAAGGCCGGCCACCGTGCCAGCCAAGCGTACTGGGTGGAGATTGTTCGAGGGGGCACGGAAGGCCTTTGCGTGCGACACATCGTGTCTCCAGGCTTGGGAGAGCCTTTGTGAGAATGATGAGAAGTATAAGAAACATGGGGATGATGTGGATGATGATTGGGATGATGATGGGGATGATGATGCTGATGCAGATGCTGATGCTAGTGCTGGTGGTTGTGGTGGTGGTGATGCTGCTGCTAATAATGATGATTCTGCTGATGATGCTGCTGATGATGCTGATGATGATGATGACGATGACGATGACGATCATGATGATGATGCTGATGATGATGGTGATCGTGCTGGTGGTGATGGTTGTGATGATGATCATGATACACAAGGTGATGCTGACGATGATACTGCTGATGCTGTTGGTTGTAGTGATGATGATACTGATGATAAGGACGATGATGATCATTGAGATGACGGTGATGATGATGCTGATGATGATACTGATACTGATGACGACGATGACGATGATGATGCTGATGATGATGCTGGTGGCCGTGGTGGTGGTGATGCTGATGGTGATGATGGTGATGATGATGATGCTGGTGGCCGTGGTGGTGGTGATGCTGATGGTGATGATGGTGATGATGATGATGGTGATGCTGATGATCATGATGATGCTGATGATGATACTGATGAGGATGACGACCGTGACGATGATGATGGTGGTCGTGGTGGTGGTGATGGTGGTGATGATGATGAGGATTATGATGATGGTGATGATGATGGTGGTGATGTTTATGATAATACTGATGCTGCTGACGATGATGATCATGATGCTGATGGTGATGAAGATCATGATGCTAATGCTGCCGATGATGATGACGATGCTGATGCTGGTGGTTGTGATGATGATGACGATGATGGTGATGCTGGTGAGGATGATGATGCTGCTGCTGATGCAGATCATGATGATGCTGATGATGCTGATGCTGATGATGATCGTGATGATGCTGGTGATGCTGCTGCTGATGATGATGCTGATGCTGCTGATGATGATGATGCTGATGATAATGACGATGATGATGATGCTGATGATGATGATGATGATGATGATGATGATGATGATGATGATGATGATGATGATGATGATGATGATGATGATGATGATGACGATGATGATGATGATGATGATGATGATGATGATGATGATGATGATGACGATGATGATGATGATGCTGATTCTGATTCTGATGATGATGATGATGATGATGATGATGATGGTGGTGGTGATGATGATACTGATGATGATGCTGCTGATGATGATGATGATTATGATGATGATGGTTATGAGTAGGAGGAGCTGGAGGAGCTGGAGGAAGGGGAAGGCCATCACATATGTGACACTCTTCGTCTCCACTACGTTGCAGATCGGTCATAGAACTCGTTTGGGCCGTCTTGTGACTGTCTTGGCCTCCTGCGATGCAGTCTTGAGGGTCCCTTGGGGCGCTCTTGGGCGGCCGTCCTGGGACCCTCTTGGGCCGCCTTGGGGCTCTCTTGGGTCGTCGAAGGGGGAGAGGGGAGGGATGAAGGAAAGTGGACGAGGGGGGGGGGCCTTTGTATGAAAGTAGACACCCTCCACAGCAGCACCTGTCAGTCCAAGACGCCCACATCTTGTAGGCATGGTGACGGATTCCGACGATCCGATGTGGCCCGATGTTTTCTTGGGCGCAGCGGCCGTTCCGATTCGATTTCGACTCTGTGCTGGTGCATGTTCGATTCGATCTCGATCTGACGCATATCCCGATTCGATCCCATTTCCAGATTGCTCACCAATCGAATCTTGCCACGTCCTCCCCGCCCTCCTCCCCTCGTCGTTTCCTGGGTCTTCCGTCTCCTTTATCCCCTTCGACTACTGGCTCTCCCCCTCTCTTTTCTCGGTCTCCTCTCCTTCCTCGATCTCACCTCTCTCCTCCCCTTCTACCCTCGGTCGCCATCTTGGCCCAAGTCGTTTTGGCACGAGCAGCACGGTCGGTTCAACCTATATTGTTATGAGCGGGGGGGGGGACTGCGGACAAGGTGTGTTTTTTTCCTCAGGAGGGCGTTGCGCTTGCTCAGTTCGCTCCTGATAGCCGACCCCCGCTGGCTGACGGGCAGCTTCACCTCGAGACAGTTCCATCACCAGTGCCCCCCCTCTCGCAATGTCTTGCCCTATCGCCTCCCTGGCTGCTGCAGTCTACGCAGCCAATCTTTACTTGCAACGACCACCGTCATCCTTAATATGCGAATGCTGAACGCATTCGTGCAGTTCCCGATGTCTACCGCAAGCGAGTTGCTGGGCACGGCAGTTGTGGGACTCACCCCGTTGCTTAACGAGTAATTTGCGAAGACGACAAGCCCTATTGCAACAGTGATGCATCTGCATAATCAGCGGATGGGCTGGATCAGTGCTACTGGAATTACTAGGGGTCCTTTTTTGTTGCTTTCCGCGCGCTTGTGTTCTGACACGTCGGACCCAGTATTGCTAACACCTAGAGCCTACTAGGTTCAAACTGATTCGAATCGAAACGCGAGGATGATGTCAATTTGGGACGTCGAAAGAATGTCCATGGTCAGAAGGAGCTCCACGGAGCCTTCGTTACGCTAGTGGACGTTGGTCTTGGACATGAGATTGCACTCAACAGCATCTGCATCTAACGCTTTCGCCTCCCATTTGGTAGTAGCCACGGACGTCGTTCATACGTAGGCCTCGGCGGCAGCAGTCTCGGCTCACGGGGTGCAACTCGGCAGACTGCAACGTCGTTTTGTTGCTTCATGGTTTTGGCCCATGTTGCCGTCGAGATATCACGACTTGCAAAGCACGGTGGTGGGAGTTTCGTCCAAGTCGCGTGTATGCGACAACTCTGTGTACAGTCGCAGAGCACACTTTTGACTGGAAGTGCGCTTTTTTTCAAAAGAAAGGGCGTGCGTTCGTTGGCGGGCACCAGCCTCGCTGACCCTAGGCGGTCGCATGTGCCCGCTTTATACGCCGCTTTGAACCCTAGAGCTCCACAACCGTTTAGCCGCCATGCATTCCCCCCTGTGGCCACTGACGTAGGTACGTGCGAAACCTACCCGTCCAGCATTTCATACAGACCAGAGGCGTTTCATTCTTGACGCTTCGCACAATACCCCGGGGAGTCCGACAGCGCCTTCGTCTCCAGGATGCAGAGGGAACTAGGCAGCATGTTCAGCGACCTGTGGGTTGCACACTGCCAAAACCTGCCCCAACCGACTTTCGACCCAGCACTGCAGCCACCAGGCGTGTGCCGAAATTTCATCCACGCGTGGAGCACTGCAGGCTACGACGTCTACCGCGCCGACCAGATCATGCGCACCAAGGCCAACTTTCGCAGCCCAACTGACAGGGCCACGGCAGTCAGTAACGCCTCCAGCGCAAGCGCTGCCAGCAGCAGCGGCATCGTCGCCACCAACCCGATTCAGTGGGCAAGGCTGGGAAGAGGAACCGAGCAACCGAAAGCCCATGGAGCTCATGGAACGAGAAACGGTATCGACAGTAACACCGAGTGTGGGGCACCACCCAGTCTCGCTGAGATGCGGTTTTGACATCACACCGGGTATGTGATGCACCTAGTAGCGTCACGCGCCTACACTGCAAGCTCTCTTTTCTATGCTTGCGGCGGTTAGCCGCGTTCCCCTGCTCTCCCTCCATGTCTGCCTCCTGCGCAGTCACTGCGGCTCAATGTCAGACTTGGCAGCCCACCGTGATTGTCCCTGCCAAGCGTCACATTGAAGAGCGCCTGGACTGTTTCATCGACGGCACCTCCTTGCTGGCTGGTCTTCGCTTCGAACAGGGCACTTTTGCCCCCTCTCCTTCTTTCCTTCCTTCCTTCCATCCTTCCTTCCTTTATTCTTTCCTTCCTTCTCCCGCATTCTCTTTCTTCCCTCCTGCCTCTTACCTCGCATCCTCCTGCCTCCTGCTCCTCCCGCCTCCTTCCCGTTTCCTCTCGTCTCCTCCCGCCTTCTTCCTTCCTCCACCTTCTCCACCCTCGTCCTTATGTATCTTTCTTATGTTCTCATTCTTTGCATAAGGCCACACTTTTGCACCAAGTGTGCTGTCCGATCGCTCATAGCACAGCCCACTCTGAGGCACGCGCCCGTTTTTGTTGACGAACTTTGGAGCCTCCAGCTTGTGCTCCATGGCGCTCCCAGGGGATGATGAGGGTGGGAGACGAGACGGTGGATCGGACGGACCTAGAATCGACAGAGCGTTCCAGAGCGCTTTCAGAACGTTCGGGAAAACGCTCTGAGACGGCCGCGGTGCCCGATGCATCCTCCAGGCCCGCCGACTCTCGGAGACTTCCGATTCATATAGGTCGGACTTTCTGCGTGGGCTGGCGTAGCGGCGGCCCGCCTGGGGCGACACCAGAGCATGCAAGCGGCGAGGGGTGAAGCGAGGAGGGGAGGAAAGGAGGACAGAGGGAAGGAGGAAGGGGGGGGAGCGATTTCGCTGGGCGTCGCGCCGAACCAGCGTGCCCCAAACCGTCTGAAGAGAGAAAACAACAAATCGCTCTCGCCGGGCGTCGCGCTGAACCTGGCGCGCCTCAGATCGCCTCAGCAGAAACATGCACTCCGCAATATTGGAGGGGGAGGAAGAAGGGAGCGCAGGAGGACAGAGGGGAGGAGAGCGAAGGTCCACTAAAAATTACAAAGCGCCATAGGGCTGCTGCAAACACTCATACCAGTCCGGCTGATATGCGAGCCACTCTGACTCATGCGTGGGCTGGCCGAGCTGCTCCGCAAAATCGGCGATGCCTGCGAGACTGCAGACTGATCCACGCCCGGGGTGTCCTGCAGTCGATACTAATGTCGATGGAGCTGCACCTCGGGGATACCCTCAGCGTTCAGATCGTCACCGGCGTCTGCAGCAACCGAGCTCCAGACCTCCCCACCGCGGCCAGCCTGCAGCGGCCTGCAGCGGCCGCGGAACGCCAGGCGGAGGTGCTGGAGGAATTCGTGTCGTGAGTGGCTGGTGATGCGTGCCCCGCCGCTGATTCCAGTCGCGTTAGCCACAGGGTTCCCATTCTGCTCCCCGTCGGACCGAGGCGGACGCGGTGCGCCGCCGATGTTAGATTTGGGAGTCCAGCCACTCTTTCCTTCCTCCTCCTCCTCCTCTTCCTCTCCCTCCTCTTCCTCTTCCCTCAGGCGTTGTAGTGTCTTGCTTTGCCGTGCCTGTCTTGGTGGGTTGCCGAATGGCCTTCCGAGCTTGGACGGTGACAGGGGACCCCGCCGTCGCACAGACAGGCGATCTGAGAGCCAGCCCCTTGGATCGGAGACCAGCCCCTACTCTTGGCCAGCTTCGTAGTTCGAGCAGGCACCTCCTACCTGTTGCACCGCCTGTGCAGAGGAGGAGGAGGAGGAGGAGGTGGAGGAGGAGGTGGAGGAGGAGAAGGAGGAGGAGAAGGAGGAGGAGGTGGAGGAGGAGAAGGAGGAGGAGGGGGAGGAGCAGGAGGAGGAGGAGGAGGACGAGGAGGAGGAGGAGGAGGAGGAGGAGGAGGAGGAGGAGGAGGATGAGAAGGAGGAGGAAAGTACGCTACAGCCCTACGAGTGGAGTTCGCGCATCGTAAGAACAAAGGATGATGA